TTTTTTTTTTTTTTTTTTTACATATTTCCTACCTCTCTAGAACTTTGAATTTTAAAACATTCGTTTTTTAGTTTGCGACTAAGGGAAATAGAAGTAGGAGTTGGTGCTCCCGTTATGAATTCTGCTGATACTTTGGGAAGGAGAAGTGGTGAGTGGAACAGAAGCCTTTATTTGCAAATTCTGTCAGGTATATTTTGCCATTTCTCGTCAAAATTTTATATTTAATTAGTTTTTTTTGTTTGCGAAATGTTTTTTTATTGGTTATTATCCTCAATTTAGTTATTGTTAGGTTAGAGGGACCATTTAAGAATTGCTTCAGTCATACTAGGGATATTATAAGGTGGTATTTCTGTTTAGTCCAAATGAAAGATTTTTCAGACGAAGAAGTAATTGAATGGGAGAAGGGCGGACCTACGAGTTATCCAGTGGCTGTACAGCGTTGGAACCCGACAACACTGGTTGTTTCTTCCAGGGTCGAATTAATCATAGCAGCTGATCGTCAGGACCAAACTGCAGCTTTAAAAGAAAAAATAAGCGAGCATTTCCAAGTACCAATGAGCAAAATAGCGCTTTCAGGGGTAAATTATTTACGTAACTGACTGTTTTAATTCTTTGCTGTTGGGATTTTATAAAGAAGTCGAGAGGTGAGTGAAGCGGATAATGATGGCAATTAGTTTTGCATGTGACAGATGAGCATTTTCTTGCAAATGGATCGAGATCTTTTTTTTAGACCTAGGTTTTATTTTTCCAAGTTTCAGCTTTTTCCTTCTAACGGTTGGACGAAGTACCCGTATACAAAAGATAGGCTTGATTTGCTTGATAATGTTACCTTTTCTAGCGAAAAAGTCTCTGCAAACACATTTAACGGCAAACTTATATATTTCAAGTAAATCTTTTGCTTTCCTTCGTTCTTCTTGTAAATAAATTGCATTTTCCACTATCAGATTGATCGACTTCAGAGCTCCTATAAATTTGGGCTTTTAAACTTTTTTTTAGACTTACTGATGATGTGCCTAAACGTTTAACTGAAGATGAGAGACGGGCTATTCGTATAAAAGATAGTAGTGCGAAATCATCAGAAACATCAGGTCGGCGAAGGGAAAGGCCACTGAGAATTCAACTGTCTACAAGCGTTTCTGAAGAGAATCCCTTGCTAGTTTCATAGTTGTATTTTATCTGCCGCATGCGACAAATTTAGTAATTTGTTGTTGTTTTAAAGTTTTTTGACGACACGTTGTTATTACCTTTTTCATTTCCCTACGTTGATGGTGACAGACATCCTTCGCATCTCTATGTTTGTGGTTTGTAGCGTTAAGAAGTCGGTTTTATAAATTGGTAATTTATGTTTTTACGCTTTACTTGACGACCAGTCCTGTGAACGCCAAAGATGGCTTCATGTGTAATTTTAAAGAAAGTGTGGAGTTTATTATCTGAATGTATCTTTTTTTCCTCATTATCTGCTGGTAGTTCAAGCGGTGTGCTCAGACTTAATTTGATGTTTATGTTAATAGAGTAACCGTTTCGAACGTGTGTTATTTGTAAGATCGTTTGTGATACTTTAAGTTGCTTTTGTCGATTTTATTCATTTTCTGCTTTGTGATGACGTTTTGTGCTTTGGCTTTTGACTTGGGTAGCAATAAGGGTCTTCAAGATTTAATTTGATGTAATAAGATGTTTGTTAAATCTTTGTATGCTGCTGTATAAAACATGTAGAGGCGCCTGTAAAAGACTATAGGTGGGGCTGTGAAAAATATATTTTTTCATTTATTTGTTTGTTTATTTGTTTATTTATTTACTTGCTTTCTACTTTTATTTATTTATTTTTTTATTTTTTATTTATTTATTTATTTATTTATTTATTTTTTTTTTTTGTTTGAGGGTGAAGTCGGACTTCTGTAGCACTTTTGCTTGTTGATGAACACAGATTTATGAACGTTGTATAGGACATGTGTGCTCATTTACTAGCTACAGCAGTACTTTGATACTTGATTGCATCTGCATTATATTTAATTTTGTGGAGTGTGAGTTTGGAGAGTTAAAACACAAATTTGTTTTATCGGAGATAAACGTTTAATTTGTAGTGTCAAAGTAGGAAATTAGTTGCAAAGTTCATGTAGCCAGGTTTTTGTCATTGGCGTTACGGAGTTTCGGTAGGAAAATTGCTGACTGTTTAGCCTACGGTTGTTTGTTCCTGGATTTTAGTGCGTAAAGCATTTATACTGGATCTAGCTATGACCTGTACGGTAAAGGAGTCAGGGTTGCGTGATAGACTGTTCCTTTCACCGTGCAATGGTGCGTGTTAAATTCTTGGTTCAGTCGCATTAATTCACTGTTGCTTCTCAACTTATATGGCATCTTTAAGATAAGCAGAGAAGTACAGCGGATTTGTATGGGACGAGTGAGCACTGGTGGAGGGATATTTTGGGATAGTATTGGTGGATGTTTACGGCAGGGAGGTGTTTTGATGAACAGTCAGGTTGTTGGGGCTTTTGGTTAGGGGTTTGTTGAGGTAGAGCTGACTATCGCCGAATGGCAGGGCTTGGCGAAGGCAGAAATTCCGTTTTTATGGTGGTAGCCACTCTACTGTGGATAGAAATTTACCATCTGGCTGTGTTATTCGCTGACTGTGGCAAGTGTGAACTTTGGAGTAACTTGGTTTTTTGGTGGAGTTTGGTATCTGGCTTTTTAAAGTAGTGTAGATGGGTGAGGTTACGGGTAAATATGCTGTGTGAGCAGACTATCTCTGGTTCAAACTGTGGTACTTGAGACACTTTTTATTGGTCATGCATTATTTCATCTGGATAATTTCG